TGAGTAACTCTATAGTAGCTGTGCAGTAGCTGTGCAGTAGCTGCAGCAGCCCTGAGTAACTCTGCAGTAGCTGTGCAGCAGCCCTGAGTAACTCTGTAGTAGCTGTGCAGCAGCAGCTCCCTGTGGCTCCAGCCCTGGTTCCCGCCCTCCCCGCAGGACTCGGACAACCCCGACCTGCGGGACCGGGGCTACATCTACTGGCGCCTGCTGTCCACGGACCCGGTGGCCGCCAAGGAGGTGGTGCTGGCCGAGAAGCCGCTCATCTCGGAGGAGACGGACCTGATCGAGCCCACGCTGCTGGACGAGCTCATCTGCCACATCGGCACGCTGGCCTCGGTGTACCACAAACCCCCCGGCGCCTTCGTGGAGGGCGGCAGGGGCGTCGTGCACAAGAGTTTGCCCCCGCGCACCGGATCGTGAGTGCTCCCGGGGGGGATGCTGTGGGGTGCTGGGCCAGGAGGGAGCTGGGACCCCATTCCCGAGGGAGCTTCTGTAGGGGCAGGGCTGTGGGTTTGGCCCTACAAGGCCGGAGGAGTGATCCCGGTGGAAGGGTTGTGTCTCCTGGCTGTGTGCGCTGGGAAGGAGCTGAGCTGGGACCCCGTTCCAGAGGGAAACCCCATTCCCTGTAGGAGCAGGGCTGTGTGGGTTCAGTAGGGGCAGGGCTCTGTGGGTTCAGTAGGGGCAGGGCTCTGTGGGTTCAGTAGGGGCAGGGCTCTGTGGATTCAGAACTGTCCTTAAAAAGATGAGGGAGTGATCCCAGTGGAAAGGTTGTGTCTGCTGATTGTATCCACTGTGGTCAGAGCTGGGATCCCATTCCCGAGGGAGGGTCTGTAGAGGCAGAGCTTTGTGGGTTCAACATTGTCCTTAAAAAGCTGGAGGAGTGATGCCAGTGGAAGGGAATCTCTATGAGAATGTGTTGGGAGCTGTGCTGGGATAGGGGAGGTCTCTGTTCCCTGTGGAAGTGTTGGGAGCCACGCTGGGATATGGGAGAATCTCAGTTCCCAGTGGAAGTGTTGGGAGCCATGCTGGGATATGGGGTCACAGCTGGAGTGTTGGAGCCATGGGTGGGATAAGAGGTCACAGCTGGAATCTTGGAGCCATGCTGGGATATGGGGTCACAGCTGGAGTCTTGGAGCCATGCTGGGATATGGGGTCACAGCTGGAGTCTTGGAGCCATGCTGGGATATGGGGTCACAGCTGGAGTGTTGGAGCCATGCTGGGATATGGGGTCACACTTGAGTGTTGGAGCCATGCTGGGATGGGATCCCTGCACGCTCCCTGCAGAGCCCAGCTGGGTGAGCTCCTGCCTCCAGCCCTGCCTGGTCTCCAGCCCATCTCCAGTGTCCCCTTGCCCTTCCCTGCAGGAGCGAGAGCGCCGAGAGCCCGGACACGGCTCCCGCGGGGGTGCCGGCGGCGGATCAGCCCTCGGTGATCCCCACGCAGGGGGACCTGCTGGGGGACCTGCTCAACCTGGACCTGGGTCCCCCCGTGAGCGGGCCACCCGTGGCCACCTCCTCGGTGCAGATGGGCGCCGTGGACCTCCTCGGGGGGGGCCTGGACAGCCTGGTACGTCCCCAGGGGCTCCTGCCCTGATTCCTGGATATCCTGGTGGCACCGTGCCGGGTTTGGTGCTGGCTGTGGTAGGGAGTGTCCTGGGATAGGGCAGATATATCAGCCTGGAGATATCCAGGCTGGTCCTTCCCTCCTCTGGTGGGTGCAGAGGGGCACTCACCCTAATTTGTCTTGTCCTCACGTGATGGCTGGAGGGCTCCCACCCCCTGCTCCCCAGTCCCTGTGGATGTTCCCACTCCATGTGCTGTGCTGCAGGAGTGGCTGCTCTTCTGCCCCCCCCTCTGACCCCCACATTGGGGGTCACTCCCAGGGTGTGGGGTGGGAGCTCTGGAGGTGACGGGCTGTCCTCCTGGGACCCGTGTCCTCCTGGGAACGCGGCCAAGCAGCGGTTTGGCCGCAGGGTGAGGCGGGATGGAAACTTCTCCCTGCCTGGGAACGCCTGCCCTGTGGGTGCTGGAGGCAGTCCAGGCTCCCTGAAGGAGCAGAGTTTGGGGTTTCCTCCATGGCTCATAAAATCCAGCGGGTTTGCCCCCAGGGGAGGCGGCGCCGCTGCCTTTGCTGCTCCGGAACCTTCCGAGCGCTGCCCCGGCTCCGAGTGGGATCCCAGCGGGGCGCTGGGCTGGGGGGATGTGCTGCTGTGTCCTTGGCTGCAGGGCAAGGACAGACGGACACCTCAGCACTAACCTCTCTCCCCTCCTCCCCTTCTCTTCTCTCTCTGTTTTCGGGCTCTTCTCTCCTGCCCTGTCTCTGCATGCTGCTGGCTCTCCTCTCCACCTTGCTGCTCCCGCTTGGAGATGGGGGACGAGTCGGAAGGGGTATGGATCAGCCCTTTTCCCAGCCCTGTGCCCGCCCCTGGCTGCCCCTGCTCCCCATCCTGAGCCCCCTGTTTGCTGCCCCAGTGCCACCCCCCTTTCCCTGGGGACAGCCAGCCCCCCTCCAGCTCCTGGCACGGAGCATCCTGACTCCAGGCCTTTGCTGCCCCGCTCTGCTGCTTTCGGGGCGTGCCCAGAGGGGGCATTTTGGGGGATCCCTGTGCCCTCAGCCCCTGCTGATGCCCCTTCCTTCTCTTGCAGCTGCGAAGCGATGTGGGAGGCAGCCCTGCTGTGAGTGTGCCCAAACCTTCTCACCCTCTGCATCCTCTTCCTCCTCCTCCTCCTGTGTCTCCTCTCCCCCTCCCCTGGTGCCCCCATAACCCCTCCCTTGTCCCCACAGATGGGCGGTGGCAGCGGCGGCTTCGCTCCAGCTCCCGGCACCGCGGTGCCCTCAAACACGGGGGCACCCCTGGGCAGCGGCCTGGGGGACCTCTTCGACCTCACTGGCGGGGTGGGGACCCTCTCAGGATCCTACGTGGCTCCCAAAACGGTGAGTGGGACACGGAGCTCAGGGCTGGGGGGGGCACAGCCCCCCGTGCTCCGCTCCCCACAGGGGCTGCTTTGGGTGACACCCCGAGGGTTTCTCGTCTCCCTCGCCCAGGTCTGGCTCCCTGCCATGAAAGCCAAGGGGCTGGAGATCTCTGGCACCTTCAGCAGGCAGGTGGGCTCCATCTCCATGGACCTCGTGCTGACCAACAAAGCCCTGCAGGTCATGTCCGACTTCGCCATCCAGTTCAACCGCAACAGGTGAGGCCCCACCCGTGTCCTGGTGCCCCTGTGACCCGGGAGGTGCTGCCCACACCCCTGGGAGTGGTTGTGTGGAGCAAAGGGTGGGAGGAAGGAGCTGCCAGGGCTGGGAGCAGCCTCTTGTGATGAGCCTTGTCTCTGATGGCTGTGCTGGTGATGAGCAGCAAACCAAAGCCTCTAAGAAGTTGGCTGAAGAGGCTGTTCCTCGGGGCTCTGACCCTCGTCCTGCCCTTTGTCCCCGTGAACTGGAGCCTCCTCTTCCCTCAGAGGCCCTGAGGGAATGGGGCAGGAATGCTAAAAGCGGGTGTGAGTCTGGGTGTAGGAGGAAAGGGGGCAGATTTTGGGGCTGCCCCAGGGTGGGGAGGACAGGAGACAGCCCCGTGCTGGGCTGTGCAGGGGCAGCAACGTGAGTGAGTTCCTGGGTGTTCCCGGGATGCCGGTGGAGGAAGGTGGGGAGCCCCAGGACGGTGCCTTGTGCCATCCCCTGCTGCCCCCCACCCTGACCCCCTGCCCTGCCCGGGTGTCCCCCCAGCTTTGGCCTGGCCCCAGCAGCTCCTCTCCAGGTCCACGCCCCGCTGGCCCCCAACCAGTCCGTGGAGATCTCCCTCCCCCTGAACACCGTCGGCTCTGTCATGAAGATGGACCCCCTCAACAACCTCCAGGTGGGCACCCCGGGGGTCTCTGGGCGTGGGCATGGCTGCTCTGGTGCTCCCTGGAGGGGGGGGTGGCACCTGGCTCCAGAGGGACCCGTGGGAGGGGGTGGGACACTTGCTCTGGGAACCACCCCGGTGTTGAGTCGCCGTGTCCTCCCGCGCCAGGTCGCGGTGAAGAACAACATCGACGTCTTCTACTTCAGCACCCTGTACCCCCTGCACATCCTCTTCGTGGAGGACGGCAAGATGGGTGAGTGTCACCTGCCTGGGGGTGCCATCCCAGCCCCTGGAACCCTCCTGACCACGTTCCCCAGGCTGGCACAGCTTGTGAGCCCCCAAAAGCAGGTCACTGCCCTGAGCCCGGCCTTGGGCAGTGGCTGGAGGGGGTGCTGGGGTGACAGGGTGACATCCCTTCGCTGCCACCGCTGCTGTGCCCCTGTGTTGTCACCCTTGGGGGTGGCCAGCGCTGCAGCTCCACTGTGGGGTCGGTGTCCTTGCTCCCTGCAGAGAGGCAGATGTTCCTGGCCACTTGGAAGGACATTCCCAACGAGAACGAGACCCAGTTCCAGATCAAAGACTGTTCCCTCAACGCAGGTGGGTCCCAACCCCTCGCTCAGGTCGTGGCTCATCCCAGTTATCCCAGGCTGTGGGGAGCAAGAGTTCCTTCCCCCGTGCCCACCTCATATTCCCAGGAAGGAGATGCTGCTTTTGGTGCCCTTGGCTTGCTGTAGGAACTTGGCAGGTTGGAAGCAGATGAGTTTTCAGGTCCCTTCCAACCCAAACCATCCTGTGATTCCGAGTCGCTCTGCCTGCTGGGGCTGTCCCTGCCCTGGGGGCAGTGGCTGTGCCCACCCTGGGATCATAAAACCATGGAATTGTTTAAGAAAAGACCTCCAAGATCATCAAGTCCAACCCTTCCCCAGCACTGCCAAGGCCACCATGTCCCCAAGTGCCACATCCATGTGGCTTTTAAATCCCGCCAGAGATGGGGGCTCCATCAATGCCTCACCACCCTTTCCAGGGATAAATTTTCCCTAATATCCAACCTAACCATCACAGGGAGGGGAGGAGACGGGGCAGGAGCAAGTCCAAGGGGGGTTTGGATCAACCCAGCCCTGCCAGCCCCTCTCTCCCCTCCCAGATTCCGTGAGCAGCAAACTCCAAGGCAGCAACATCTTCACCATCGCCAAGAGGAACGTGGAGGGCCAGGACATGCTCTACCAGTCCCTGAAGCTCACCAATGGCATCTGGGTGCTGGCAGAGCTCCGGATCCAGCCCAGCAATCCCAGTTTCACGGTGTGTCCCATCCCCAGACCTGCTCCCGACCCCCCTGGGCAGCTCCCTGCCTTCCCTGCTCCGAGCCTGGGGAGGGCTGGGTGGCACATCCGTGGTGGTGGGACCCCCCCCCAGCTGCTGGTGGTGCTGGTGCCAGTCCTGCTGTCCCTCTGGCATGGGGAGGGTGACAATTCCTGCTGGGCTTCTCCGTGGGAGCAGCTGAAGGACACAGAGAGCTCCCACCCCACCCTCACACCTCCGATAAAATAATCCCCCATCCCCTCCTTGGAGCATCCCCATCCCTGCCCTGAGCAGGGATGAGCCATCCCCGTGTCCTGCTTTCCCTGTGCCCTTCCCACGCCCCTCACAGCCTGGTTCTGGGGTTGGGATGGGCTGTGTGACCTTCACTCACCTCTCTGTGTCTCCGTCCCTGCCGCCCGCCCTCGCTGGCCCGCCCGCCCTTGCAGGATTTGGAGGTTAGCACACTGGTTTTTCCCTGGCTTTGGGCTCTCTCTGGCTGCTGCCTGGATTTTCCACCCTCCCCTGACTTTTTTTTTTCCCCCCTGCCCTGCCAGTCTCTTGGTGCCTCCTGCCTCTCCTTCGGGCAGGGCTGGCACGTTTTGGAGGGTCGGGGTGTCCCTCCTGGGCTCGCTGGGGGTGAGGAGAGCTGCCAGTCCTTATCCCAGAGGATTCTCCCTGAGCTCTCCCTGCTCGAGGAGCCAGTTGATTGCAGAACTATTTAATATTTAAGCAAACACCCAAAGGTGGCTCGTTCCTCTTCAGAGAGGAGGATGTTTTTGGGGAACCCTTCACCCTGGAGCACCAGGCACTGAATCCAACCCCTGCCTGCCCCCCTGCCTGTGCTGCATGTGGATGTGCTGCCCTGGGATGGTATTTTGGGGGTTCAGTGCCTTTAATATCCTTTTTCCAGCTGCAATAAGGAGCTGGATGCCCCTGTGGAGGAGGGGGTGCTGCAGCATGCAGGGTCTGCTTTGGGGCTGGTGACTCTCCAGTGTGGGGGGAGATGCCATGACCCCCCTCTTCCCTCTCTCCCACAGTTATCCCTGAAATGCCGAGCTCCAGAGGTGTCCCAGTACGTCTACCAGGCCTATGAGACCATCCTGAAGAACTGAGGTGCTGCTGCAGCCCTTCCTCCTCCTCCTCCTCCTCCTCCTCCTCCTCCTCCTCGGCTCCCCTTCCCGCCCGAGGCAGCGGGGCCGGATCCATGTGCATGTCTCCTTTCCTTCCTGCCAAGGAAGCAGCCCCTGGGACTCTCCCCTTGCTGGTGGGGCTGGGGGGGCACAGGGGGGCAGAGGGGCTGCCCCCAGGCCCTGATCCCTGTAGCAATCCGTGTGTGAGCAATGCCGTGTCCTCCTCGCTGGGGTCGCTCCCTCAGGATTCCCTGTTTTCACCCTCTGGGAGCTGCTCTACCTGGGGAGGGGGGGGAGGACCAAAAACCCACTTCCCCACTCCCCCTGGGTCTCTTGGAGTGGTGTCTGGTGGTGGGTTCAGCATTCCAAACCCTGGGATAGCACCTGGGGGCTCTCTCCCAGCCCGGTTGGGGCCCTGAGTGCTGTGGGATGGGGGGGCTCTGGCTGCTGAGCCCTGGAGCCCTGGGATTTGGGGCTCAGTGCGCCTGGAGCAGGTGGAAAACAGTGTTGGCTCCTTTCCCCTCTCTCCTGCCTCTCCCTGGTTTTGACCCCTGGTTCAGCAGAGCCGTGGGTGAGCCCCCAGCCCTTCAGAGAGGGTCCCCTTCCCATGGCAGCCCTTCCCAAAGCTCCCAAAGGGCTCAAGGAGCTCAAATTCGAGGCTGTACTTAATGTGCAGGTAAAAAAAAAAAAAAAAGGGCTTTTCCAGCCCCCTCCAGCCCCCCCTGTGGAGCTGGGAGGGCTCTGAGTGTCCCCTCAGCCCCTTCCCACCCCTCAGCTCCCTCTGGATGGTTCCCTGGGGGTGACACTGCTCCTTCCCCTCCCAAATCAAGCCATGGGTCCCCCCTCCCTCGAAGCAGGAAATCTCTAATATATGGAAGATAAATCTATTGTGTGTTCACTGGTTTGAGGTGAATAAAGGTGACACCTGCCCCTGGGGACACGTGGGGTGGCCCTGTCCCCGTGATCCCGAGGGAAGCAGGATGCTGGGAGCTTCCTGCCAGCACTGGCCTGGCCTTGCAGGGGAAGATAAGCCCAGCCTAGTGGCCATGGCCCAGCAAGGCCTGACACAGCACATGGCCCATGGCCAGGGGACACAGGTCACCCCTCGGGGACAGGAGGGGCCTGGGAGCTCCAGGCTCTGCTCCCAGAGCCCCTGATGGATCCACCAAGGCCCTGCACCCCGATCTGGGGGATGCTTGGGGTGCCCCTGAGCCCCTCTTGGGGCTGGGGATGAGCTCAGGGTCACCAGGAGGTGTGGCTGGTCCCTGTGGGGTGGGGGACAGTCCCTGGTGAGGATGGGCAGCACCACTGAGCCCTGCCAGGGAGATCCCACCAAGCACTGGCACTCCTGCCAGGCATCCTGCTGGGCACTGGAGCTGTTCTGGGGCACCCCATGGGACACTGGAGCTGTTCTGGGACACCCCATGGGACACTGGTGCTGTTCTGGGGCACCCCACAGGGCACTGGAGCTGCTCTGGGACACCCCATGGGACACTGGAGCTGTTCTGGGGCACCCCATGGGACACCAGCCTCACTCCCAAGGGAGAGGCAGGACAGAGATCTGGGGACCTTTAGGACCCCCAAAGTCACAGCAGGATGGTCACCACCAGCAGAAACGGACCCCCCTGGTGCCCCCCAACCTGCCCAGCCCCTGGAGCATGTCCATGCTCCCCCCCTGGGTGAGGGGTCTCAGCCATGGGGCACTTTGGGCTCCAGGGACCCCCCTGGAGGGGTCCCAGACACAGCCGAGGGGTCCCCGTGGCTGCAGCGGGTGCAGGACTTTGGGGACCACCCTCAGCCTGGCTCTCCACTGCTCCCAACCCTCCTGGGGCCCCCAGAGCCCCCTCCCTTGGGT